ACTGAGGTCTTTAGGTACATATTTGCTTTTTAATACTAATCATTAAAGCCACTGTATAATATATTTTCTAATTAAAATCTAAAGTAAGAAAGCAGTATGAAGTTTTGTGGTGTTATGTTACTCCTCCACCTTCTTCTCCACTTTGATAATGAGGTTGCTGGGACCCCCTGCTGAGTGAGAAGTGAGGAAGAGTGGGGAAGTGTGACAGATGAAATATGAAAAAAAGGGGAATTTAATATGAGAAATTCAGTGACACAGGTCATGCAGTAGAGTTATATTTTACTTGACCTTCATGTTCTTAAGAATTATTATACATTTGCAGCTATACATAGTTTAACCCTGTAGGGCAGTGCTTTTCACTGTAGCAACACAAATATGTTTTAACTTAATATTTAACCAACAAATTTGAAATCTTTTAAAACAGAAGTTATTAAGCTTTTTCACATTGGCATATGATGACCATCCTAAACACACACCAGTAATGAAATGAAATCTCAGATGCCTATCAGAACCTAGTAGTCCTTGTCTTGTCTTAATAGACCTAAACCATCTACCAGAGGGGAGAGAAGTAAACAGAGGCGGGCTGGATGGGAAAGGTCAATAAGGATCTTTAGAACTTTGTGTTTCAGACAAGAGAGTCCGCAGAGGGAAGGGGGTGTCCTACAAATCTGGAAGTGATACAGACTACTGTCTCTAGTGGTTTTCTTGTCCTGGACAGAAGTATTGCCAAACCAGTTATGAAGGACAAAATGCTCTCGATGATCTGTAGAAAAGGGTCATTGCTTCCTGCAACACTTCAAAAGAACAGCCTCTAGTGAGCTTTCTTGACCATGATGAATGATATAATTCAACTATTTTATTCCTGTATACTGACTCATTATTGCTTGTGATGAGCACTACAAGAATAGTGTCATCTGAGAACTTGAACATTTTGACTGACCAGAATGTGAAATAGTCAATTGTGAACAGAGAGTAAAGGAGAGGCAATATGCACAACACTGAGGATCTCCCGTGCTCAGTATGAGAGGCTTAAAAAAGATATCCTTCCTTCTGCTTCACCGGCTGCTTCCTATCAGAAAGGAAATCCAGTAGCCAATAATACAGAGTCTGGTCAATACCCATCTCTGCTAGTTTATCAAAAAGATTGAGAGGGGTGATCATATTAAAAGCAGAACTATAGTCAATAAAGAGGATCTGGGTATATGTGCTGGGTGCTTATACTGTAGATGTTGAA